TTAAGGCTGTAAAACCTCAGCACAAAATTTATACACTTTTCTCAGACAGGACAGGTGCAACCCTTTTTACTTCCTTCTTAAAACTTATCGCTGCTGTCGTCCTTGTGTTATTTTCCTCCTTCTTTATGTAACGAATTGAAGATTAATTTATTCCATAATGGAGCCTACAGCGCAGAGTCCTGCACGGGGTCATTTTTGGAGACCCCCAGTACAACACCGCACCCGCAGGACCGCACCTGCCCGTTAACCCGAGATTATATCAAACTTTTGCGCTGCCGATGCCACGGACTGAACCAAGACTAAACCAGGATTAACCCAGGACTGATTCCAGGACTGAAGAGGAGGACTAATCCACGACTGAACTAGGACTAAACCAGGACTAAACCAAGACTAAACCCGTCGGGACGGGCTTGGAGGTGACCGCTGGAGAAAGGACCGGCTCAGCTGACTGGACCTGAGCCTATTTATAACAGATGTGGAACTGAACCTGTCATGTCTGAAGAAGGGTTTGGCCCGAAACGTCACATTGTGGTGTCACTGAAATAAAATAAAAAAAATTGGATCTTCAAAGAACTGCAGTGTGGAACTCTTTCATTTTTATTTTTTATTTTTTTTTTTGTGCTATTTTTGTCTTTGGACCCAGCATGCAGTTTTTGTTGGATGTACATGTCTCTATCTACCAGTATAAATATTAAACTGAAATTGCAATTTAAATAGTTACAATTATCAAATCACTAAGACTGTAATAATTTAATAAATGTACCACTCCAATGGGTTCAGTATTCCCCATTAACAAAGGAGATCACTACTAACAACTGCACTGTTTACAGCCTTAATAAAGCAAGAACCTGATTCAAAATAATTCAGATCAGTATTAACTACTTCATTAAGGGGATAGCACACTGAAGGGGGCGTGACTTAGCGTAAGGAGCAAGGGGAGGTGGGGCTGCATCTTCAAAAATTTTGACTAATTTCTACTTAATCAAAATTAGTTGTTTCAGTTTGTACCAAAGTAAGTCAATGATTTAAAACGGTTCACATTGGCGTCACATAGTTTGAAAACAAAAAGCCTGTAATTTACATTTAACTGAGCCATAGTGCAATTCTGAATGTTATAACCATTGTACATACATCTCTATATATATGGCAGCATCTTGTTGGCTTTGTGACCATAACTTATTTTTTGGCAGATTTGAATGTGCGGTATTGAAAACTATGTATCTGTGTAATTGTACTGTATGTCTAACAGCTAATTCATTTTTGAGAGACGAAAATGTTATTGTTTTATTTTTTAAGAGGAGAATGTACATTTTGTGTTTTTTTTTTATTTCATAGCAAAGAAACAGCTTCAGAAATGTGAAATGACACATGCATAAACTTAAGTGAATCCTGCAGGTTCTGAGTTTTCACAAGAGACATAACGTGACATGACCTAAACTGAGAATGAGAAACACCAGAGGGCGCTATACTAACACTGTTTGGATTTGAGAGGACACTGGGTGCATCTCATTTCTCTTTTTTTGTTTACTTCCTCGATTCCTCTCCTCGATTCTGCAGAAAATTGGTGAGGAAGCAGAAGAGGAAACAGGAGCAGAGGAGAGAGGCAGGTGTTGACATGAGCTGAGAGTGAATGGGACACTTTCTTCAGGCACTGACCTATATGACCCTATAATGAGGATTACACTAAGGATTATTTGTTAAAGTCAGACCAAGATAAATGTTTGTTTTGTTTTGTTTTTGTTAATATATATTTATTAATTTCATTTCATTAGACATGTTCGATGTCCATTTAGTGATATGTACATAAATGCATACATACATGCACACATCCATATATACATACACATCTATCTTTTATATTCATTTACATGTGTGTTCACAACAGCCCCTATGTACATACATGTGTGAATACATGGACGCACCCATATACATCCATCCATGTGTACACCTACATACACACAAGCACATACATACATACATATATGTGTGTGTGTGTATATATAATATATATATATATATATATATATATATATATATATATATATACATACATACATATATATATGTATATGTGTGATATTATATATATATATATATATATTATATATATATATATATATATATATTATATATATATATATTTATATATATATATATATATATATATATATCATAAGAGGCAGAGCATAATATTATCAATGTTCTACTCTACCTTTTTTTTCCTTAATCCCTTCCCCCAGTTAATTAGTGACCCCCCACCAAAATAAATAGATGTTTTAGCATATATTTTTTTTTATAGTTTTAATGTTAAATTCAGGATTACATAACATGTCATACTTTGCTGCTGTCCCTGTACTTGTGTAGTTGAGACATTTATTTTAATGGATGTTTTGCCTCTCACGCAGGTTTCCTCTGTGGTTTCCTTCCCTTGTTTTCTCTGAGCTTTGGGACACCGCTTAAGAGGTTTGATTGACAACTGAAAAATTGCAGATCGAGGAGAGGAATCAAGGAAAAGGAAGCGAGCATATGTCTCCATGGAAATGTTATTGCTTTGTCTACAATGTTCCACAGTTTAGATTAAACCTTTATCTGTCATGAGAGAGACGAGCAGGTTACAGCACTACACTACATTACAGTTCAGATCTGTGGAGAGGCGCCCCCTTTCACAGAAGGAACTGCATTTTTGAGGAATAAAAACACACGTAATGAATAAATGTAGATGGATATTTTTAATGCCATATCATGGAACATTCCAGGAAAAGCAGTAACATCTCCATGGAGACAAGTAGGTAGCAGATCCTCCACTACCAAAGTTGCACAGTGCCCCTTTAAGACATAATTATTTACTTTATTGAGGACACATGTAAGATGATTTCAGTCACACAATCTGGCAACCCAAAGTAAAGGGCTCATTCTGTTTTCTGATTGGATAATTTGAGTGAGAACTAAGTTTTTACTTGTATATTTTTGTTCACTATTATTGTGATATTATCAGTAAAATTATTTTTTTGATTTAAACCTAAATTTTGAGGCACAATCTTTGTTACGACATAAACAGTTTGGGGACACACATGTAAAGCTTTAATCTCCAAATAATTTTAGAGCACATATCAAAGACAGTAAATCCATAAGAAAGCACACAAGTGTTTATTATGTTTTAAAATAATTTCACATTAACACATAAGACAAAACAAAATTTAAAAATACTGACAGAAAATGACATAAAGATGTTTTCTTATAACATTACCAATGAGGTTTTTTCTGATCACAGTAACAATAAAACATCTGCCACTACATCTGCAACCAAGTGGCTGAACTTTATTCACAATTTTCAATCAAATGTTTCTGTTGGAAAATCTTATCTCCACACCAAAACAGGACGGTTAGCAAGATGATAATGGTAAGTTTCAAAAAGCAAACAAACTTGCAGACAACAAAACAACTTGCAGTGCAGGGTTAGTTGGACCCAACGTTTGGCAAAAAAAAAAAAAAAAAAAAGACAATGAGGGACCACAATAAGTGCAGGGCCATGGGTTGAGATAGGGGGAAGATGAGCACCTTATGTAACAGATAATACTCCCTACAACTGTACAACAACTGGCCCTTATGTTACAGATAATACTCCCTACAACTGTGTAATAACTCAACCTTATGTAACAGATAATACTCCCTACAACTGTGTAATAACTCACTTATGTAACAGATAATACTCCCTACAACTGTTTAACAACTCGCCCTTATGTTACAGATAATACTCCCTACAACTGTGTAATAACTCAACCTTATGTAACGGATAATACTCCCTACAACTGTGTAATAACTCACACTTATGTAACAGATAATACTCCCTACAACTGTACAACAACTGACCCTTATGTTACAGATAATACTCCCTACAACTGTGTAATAACTCACCCTTATGTAACAGATAATACTCCCTACAACTGTGTAATAACTCACCCTTATGTTACAGATAATACTCCCTACAACTGTACAATGACTGTCTGTTTCTGGCATTCGTTATAATACTATATAGCCAACAAATTTCATTTGTAGTTAAGACGACCTGTATATTTTTAGGCGTAGATTATTTCAGTTTGTGGTGTTATTTTAATATGTTATGCTTCCAAATTAGCATTAGCACGACACACAGACGTACCTTTGTAAACACAAAAGTTTCCTTCTGTAAAGTTTCACCACATTTATAAAGAATCTGTCAGGATTTATTGATTTTAACTTGACTCTGCACAAACCTCAAACGTTACATCAGAACACAACCCAGGACTAAGAGTTTTATTCTGAGAGGAGAGTGGCTCTGGGCCATCGACTCAAAATAGTAAAAAGCAACTCTTCTCAGCTTAGACAATTATTTTATGAAATCACACAGGTAGACCTGTCCAATTTCTCTATTAACTCACTATATTTCTTTTTCATGTGTTTTTTGCTTAGTTTCCTTCTCTTCTTCCTGCTCTTTTTGCTTTGCGTTTTTCTCCTCCTCATTTCTGACTTTCTTTATTTCTTTTTCATGTTTTGTGACAAGTTCATTTATTTTTCTTTTTCATGTTTTGAGAGTAATTTATTAATTTTAATCAACTTGCCTGGTTTTGCCCAAAGTCGTTTCACTAAAACACTTATTTCTTTCTGATGCATTTCCATCTTTTGCTTCTCATTATGAGCAGTCAGTGCCTGCAACAAATCATAACTCTTATTTTTTTTTCTTCAAGTTCTTCTTTGTGAAGTTGTTTCAGATTCTCTGTTTCCTTTCTGTGTTTTTCTTTGAACTCATTGAACTCTTCAGCTTGGCTTCTGGCCTTTTCTTCATATTTCCTCTTCATTTCTTCTACTTGTTTTTGATGCCCCTCCTCTAACTCTTTTCTCTTCTTTTCCTCTTGTTCTAGTTTTAGTTCATCTTCTTTGAGTCTTTCATTATACTTTTTTATTTCCTGTTCTATCTCTTTTTGTCTTTTTTCCTCTTCTCGTTTTCTTTCTTCATCTTCTTGTTTTCGTTTCTCCCACCATTCGTTTCTTTCTCTTTCCCACTTCTCTCTCTCCTGTTCCATCTGCCTCCTGTTTTCTTCTAGTTGTATTTCCATTGACTTTGCTTCTGATTTGATCTTTTCTTCCAATTCGTTGTGTTTTTGTTCCCACTCAAAGACGCTGCCTTTTTTCTTCTTCCTTCCTTTTTCTGTCTTCTTTTTCTCGGTTTTCCTGTTCTCTTTTATATTTTTCCTCTTTTTCTTTCAGTTCTTTCTCTTTCTGCTCTTTCTCAATTTTTTTTTGTTTCATTTCTTCTTGTCTTCTTTCCTCCAGTTGTCGTCTTTCTTCATCTTCTTGTTTTCGTTTCTTCCACCGTTCTTTTCTTTCTCTTTCCCACTGTTCTCTCTCCTGTTCCATCTGTCTCCTGCTCTCTTGACGTTTTATTTCAAACATTTCTTTAGATTGCTCTTCGGATTTAATTTTTTCTTCCAGTTCTTTGTGTTTCCGTTCCCATTCCTGGTGCATTTTTTCCTCTTGTTCCTTCCTCTGTCTGTCCTCCTCTTCTCTCTTTTTTTGTTCTTTTTCACGCTCATATTCTGCTTCTTTAATCTTCCTTTCCTTTTCTTTTAGTTCTTTTTCTTTTAGTTCTTTTTCATTTTCAATTTGTCTCATTTCTTCTTGAATTTTTTTCTCCTGTTGTCGTCTCTCTTCATCTTCTTGTTTTCGTTTCTCCCACCATTCTTTTCTTTCTTTTTCCCACTGTTCTCTCTCCTGTTCCATCTGTCTCCTGTTCTCCTGCAGTTTGACTTCAAATTGTTCTTTTGACTGTTGCTCTAATCTGATTTTTTCCTCTAGAGCTTTTCTTTTTTCTTCCCACTTCTGTCGCTGTAGTCTCTCTTCTTCCTTCCTCCTTTCCTCTTCTTTCTCTCTCTTTTCCTGTTCTCTTTTTTGCTGCTTTTTCTCCTCTTCAATTTTTTCCTCCTTTTCTCTGAGTTCTTTCTCTCTCTGTTGTCGATCTTTTTCAAATTCCTCTCTTTGTTTGTTCATTTTTTGTTTAATTTCTTCCATTTCCTGTTGGTATTTTCTCTCCATCTCCTCCCTCTCTTTCCTCATCTCCTCTTCCTTCTCTTTCATAATGTTCTGCATCTCTTTTTTAATGGCTGCATCAGCCTCTTTGAGCATGTCGTTGGTGTAACAGCCTCCACCGTTTTCCTTCACCATCTCATCGATCTTCTTCAGCAGCTCCACGACCTGAGTGCGATTTTCTTCATCATTATCAAACACATGGTACCTGTTCCCACACTTAGACATCAGTTCCTTAAAGGAACTTTCACAATCTTTTTCTATGTAATCTTCAATTGACATTTTACGTTTTGTCAGCTGATCTCCATGTGTAAAAAGAATAATAGTAAACTTTTGTGCCTCTTTTCCAAACCCTTCTTTGATGAGTTTTAGTGTCTCTTTCTCTTCTTTTGTCAGTCGTCCAATTTGTAAAACCAACAGAAAAACATGTGGTCCAGGAGCTAAAAGACTGATGCATCTCAGCATTTCCTCGTAGACCTCATCACGTGACATGGTTGTGTCAAAGAGTCCTGGAGTGTCCACCACAGCCACAGAGCGTCCGTCTACTGTAGCTTTTGCCCTTTTACAAACTTTAGTGACAGATATTTGACTGGGTATAGCTTTAAACTCATCTCTTCCTAAGATAGTGTTTCCTGAGGAACTCTTTCCGTTTCCTGTTTTTCCAATCAGAACGATCTTCAGACAATCAGGACTCAGACTATCACCACCTAAAAAAATAATAAAAACATGTAAGAAATGTAATGGGCTTAAATATCAAATACATGTGTAACAGAAACAGTTTTTGGGCCTGAAACAGTGACGTTTTCCTTTGTCTCACTTCTGTCGTATGGGCCCTTTTCATGCTGCTGCTTGTTCCTGTTCTCTGAAAAGTGCAGATCCTCACTTCACCCTCCATTCATTCTCTATGAGGAATTAGCAGAGTCATACTAAAACCAATGTTTAAATATCAGGATGCAGTAAATTACAGACGGATAATCACAGACAGCAAGACCTTTACTATGCTCTATAAACACTTCACTGAAGAAAATGTCTGTGTTCATAAAAGTAGACTTACTGTGCTGGGTGATATTTACATGATGATTTATTTACGGCTAAATCCTCATAGAGAATGAATGGAGCGGGAAGTGCAGAGCCAGACAAGAAATCATGAGAAACAACAAGAAAAGGGACTATTGACCTCACAATAGTTTCTCATAGCACTAAGCTCCACCTATTGGTGTGAGGGTGTCATTACAACTTAAAAAGTTATTGAAATCAGACTTCACCATTTATTTCATACAATAAAACATGATGTGAAAGCACATATCTGGTGTCACACAAAAACTTATCACTGAGTGTGCAAAAAAAATCCAATGCAAAATTTTGAAATGCACTAAAAATTGTATTTAATGGTGTAAATAAGATTATTAGTAACCATACTCACATCTGTTTGTTTTATATTTCATGTCCTCCATTTGTTTGTGTTGAGCTGAAATCTTCTCTATTTGAGCTTGCACAAGTGTCTCTGTGGTGTAGCTGTAAGTTTCATTCTTGGTCTTCAGTGTGTGTTTAAATAATCCAGCAGCTGAGGGACCTGCTGTTGGTCTCTGGGGTTGAATATAAAATATCCTCCTCCACAGCTCTGACACAGCTCCTGGATGTCTCTGTCTCCTTCAACAAACTGAAGCACAGCTGGAGCAGTGGGCTCTGAATGAATGAACAGAATCATAGTGAAGGGACGGACTCGAGAGCTGAGTGTGTCCTGGATGATCTTCAGCTCGGTCTTGTCTTCATCAGTGAGAGGAGCCACCGGTAGAACCAGGATGAAGACGTGGACGCCCTCAGGAGCACAGAGGGAGATGCAGTGGAGGCACTGCTGCATCACTGTCTCCAGAGGTTTTCCAGACAGAGCCGGCAGCTCCACCAGAGACACACGACGCCCACAGACCTCTCCCTCATGTTTAACACACTGCTCTGTGCTACTCGCTGCAGGGAGCTCTGCTCGCCCTAAAATACACTCAGCTGTTGAAGTCTTCTCTGCTCCAGTCTTCCCAAAAAAAAACAGGTTCAGAGAGGGTTTCTGCTCCACAGTGAGGGTAAGGAATGATGCTTTGTTTTGATCTACAATTCTCTTGAGGGAATCAGTCAGGAGTTTGTGGTTTTCATCAAACATGTTGTAGAATCTTCCACCACAATCACTAATGAGCTTTGAAACACTGAGGGTCTTCTGGTCCCTTGTGTGTGAGAACCACCATGGAGTGTTTAAAGGCACCTGGACCAAACAGACTCAGGATGAAGGTCAGAGTTTTCCTGTTGTTTTCAGTGAAGTCTGAAGGATTCACCAGCAGCAGCACGACGTTGGGTCCAGGAGAACACTTAGACACACATTTGTTCAGTTCTCCTGTCACAGTCTCCACAGACAGACAGAGCAGGTTTGGGGTCTTCACTACCACTGGTCGTTTTCTCCAAATGTTAGCGGTGGAAGAGCTTTGTTCTGTTGCCATATCAATGTTATTGAGGATTGCACACATTTTTGTTTGGTTCTTAAAATTACTTCCAAGCAGAAGAATCCTGAGAGTGGAGTCTGGGAAAATAATTAATTCACATAGACGTCAGTGCTTTTTTTTGTCCACAATAATAAGATGACTTAGCTGCTATGCTGCAAATGATCTTAAGGACAGGTGAAACATTTTTTAGTAAATGTACTTACCAGAACCAGAATATATTTTACTCTTTCTCAGTGTGTTGTTAAATTCTGCAAAAAATTTAAATATTTACTTAAATGAAACGCATGAAGGTTTATAACCTAAATCAACAGTCACTGCAGGTACCTTTTTTAAATGCAGTAATAACGTCTCCTTCTCCTTCTTTGGTCTGATGAGCTGCTGGAGCAGGATCCTCATATATATCAAGAGTAACATGTTTTTCATTGTTCTCTTTAAGTATTTGGACTATTTTAGTCAAGAGTTCTTCATGTACTTCAGAGATCATATGTGTTTCAAGGCTCTTCACCAACTGATATCTGTATTTGCATTTTTTAATCAGATTTTTCAGAGGGGGAGAATTCAAATAATCCTTCATTACACTTGTCTTTTTTGTTGCTGTCAGCAGCACCAGTGAATGTTGGAAGCTCTGCTCACTGAAGCTCCTCAGGACTGACTGTAGTCTGATGTTGTGTTGCTCAGTGAAGTCTTCAGGCTGTAGAACCAGCAGGAACACATGAGGACCAGGGTCACAGGCGTCTGCTGTGTCTCTGACTAACTCTGACTGTGCATCTGCAGTGAGGTCGGGCTGGAGCAGGTCTGGACAGTTGATCACTGAGATCTTCTTGTCTTGAAGTTCTCTTGTTTGTCTGATGGGTCTTTCAGGTTCTTTTGTTGCATCAAACACAGACTCATTCAGTAACAGGTTTCCCACAGAGCTCCTCTGACCCCAGCCGCTTCCCAGAATCACCACCCTCAGCTCAGACACTGGAAATACACAAGAAACAAAATACAATTAAGAAAAAGGTCTCACAGTTAAAGTGTGGTACTAATGTAAAGCCTGTCTCTACTTTAAAAAAAAAAAAAAAAAAAAAGTTCAACAGTACTAATTATGAAACTTGTCCTTTCTGGTAGAAAACTGGGTCAGAATCTGGGATGAGTACCACATGTCACCTATGAGTTCAGACAAAATACAAAATGTAAGTGAATTATTCATATCTATAATGGACATTTAAACAAATCCTCATTTAAGGCATACTAAAATCTAAATTAATTCTATACTAAATTCCAAATACATTTTGGATTACTTAGTGTAAGGGATTATATATTGCATTTTACTTTGACTTTCCATTTATCTCTCCAGTTTTAACTTAAATATGTATTAGTAACAATGTTCTTTGACTGAATGAATGAATAATGGACTTTATTGTCAATTTCTTCACATGTACTGGACATACAAAGGAATCGAAATTGGAACTGTCACTCTGTCCGTACATTACAAACACACAATGCAATATATGACATGAGACAGGACATGGACAACATGACTAGACAGAAAATAGGTAGAAAATAGGAATAAACAATGCAGCATAACATGAGGATGAGGAGGGGAGGAGAAAAAAAAAGAGAACCACCCCCAGCCTGTGCTCCTATCGGGGCATAGTATGGTACGAGTACACAAAAAAACAACATCTTAGTGACATCAGCACATAGTCAAAACACAGTACAAACATTTCCACTGGACTAGCAACCAGGTAGGGTATGGGTGTGGAAATAACTCAATGTAAGCAAGCAGCCATCTGGATCCTGCAGCCATTGGCGCTTTACTGATGATTTTCAGATTTAATGGCAGTAAATTTTGCAAATAAACAGTGTGGCGGGGCTCTATTAAAAACTCAGGCAAGATTGAAGTTCCAAGTGCAGGTGGTTTATTGTGCCAGTGTCCAAAGTGCAAGAATCCCATAAACAGTGCAAAAATATTTACAGTGAGCAAAAATGTCCAAAGAGTATTTACAATAAAGAAGCAGGGTAGAGTTCAACATTAACTTTCCCCTTTAAGATTCTGGTACAGCACACCAACGTTACCTGCTCTGTAACTGGTGGCAGACTGATTGACAGCCAGAAACGGCTCCCCTTTATACACCCCCGGGATGAATCAGCGTGTGTGTGCTAGAGATGCGCGGATGGGCTATTTTTTCATCCGCAACCGCGACACAAAACTCATCATTCGCCCGCTGTCCATTTTGCACCGAAGGTTTTCAAAACCGCACCCGCCCGCCATCCGCCGATTGAGTTTAGATTTTAGAACAATCATACAGCAAACAAACTAAGGAGCCTCGATAAAAATGCAAACTATAGCTCATTCATTCCAAAATTCGCTCAGCGTGTATGTTCGCATTCTTAATTGTCAGAGTCGGCGTCAGAGCACATTCTACTGGAGGGGCATGGGTCACCAGCAGGGGGGCACTGCCATTTGAGAAATATTTTAACGCGGTGGAGTCATACACAGCAGACATGCTGTCAAACACGTTTTTCTTTAACAGTATTAGGCTAATTATGTGTTGTTATTATAATCATTATTATATTAAGATTATTATTATTATTATTAGCTGCAATAGTTGTTGAGGCTGTGTGGTAGACGATACAACACAAGACAATAATAAAAGGTTGAGGTTTATTAAAAAACAATAAGTCCTGCCACTGGTTGTAAACATTAAACAACAGCCTCTCGTCAAAAACACCTCTGAACTAGAAATAGGCACGCATCGGACAGCACCAGGGCTGTAGTGAACCAGGACTAAACCAGGACTAAACCAGGACTAAACCAGGACTAAACCAGGACTAAACCAGGACTAAACCAGGACCAGTGGCGGCTGATGGTATAATTTTTGGGAGGGGCACCAAGGGCAAAATTATAAATATATATTATGAATAATATATGTATTATATATATAGGCTGTAGTATTATAACAAATACCAGAAACAGGGTTGGTTAGTATTGGCTGAACAGTATCGATCAGAGCACAATGAACAGCCAAGCGCAAACTTTATGCAACAACACAACGTAACACACCGCTCACACCCAGACCAACAACGTCAGTAAAACTACAAAAAGAGACATGAACACAGATGCCGCTTCTACAGCACACGACAGAACAACCAGAGCAGCTCATTTACGCACCAGAACTATTAACTATTAACACTATAACACTATTTAACTATTAACACTATAACACTTTAACTATTAACACTATAACACTATTTAACTATTAACACTATAACACTATTTAACTATTAACACTATAACACTATTTAACTATTAACACTATAACACTATTTAACTATTAACACTATAACACTATTTACCTGTGAGGCTCCAAGTTCAGATTTGCCGCAAACTAATGAAAACCAGCCTCTTACCTTCTCCAGAGACTGAAGCAGAGTGTTTCCTCTGTCCACTGTCCCACTGGTTCTGTTTCCAAAAGTCTATTGTCCAATATGAAGAGATGAAACTGGTCCAAATCCTGGTCCAGTCTGGTCCGTGACGCGAGGTCCAGGAGCCGAGTGCAGGAGCGGTTGTAAAATTACTTAATCCCACTTCCCACTTAAATCTGAAAGTTACGGTCAGTCCACATCAGCACCAGGACACCAGGTAGAATTATGCCTCTGCGCGCTATGCTCAGGTCAAACTTTTACACCCAGAAACGAGCGGGCAAAGGCGGATAGAGCAGCGAGCGACTGCCCTGGCCCCGGCGGCGGCAGCGAGAGTCCCTGGGCGGCGACTGTCCCGGTCCCGGGCGGCGACAGTCCCGGGTCCCGGCGGCGACAGTCCCGGGTCCCGGCGGCGGGTCTGTCAGTGTCTTTGATTCTGTTCTCGCCATTTCCTGTGTGGAGCTTTAGGCTAAAGTAGCAGCTGCCGCTAATCGTGGAGCTGCTACGAGTTGACGCAGCAGGTTGACGTGACGTGAGTGACAGGACAGTTGTCCAATCACATTACACTAAATAAACAGAGACTGTGACGTCATTGATGTCACAGTAAAGTTTGTGCCCTCGGCCCGAAGTGAAATGCGCCAATCAAAATAATTTTAAAATAGTAATAATAACGGCCTGTTGGGGGGTGGGGCACCAGTGGCCGCTAGGGGGGGCACGGCCCTCAAATGCCCCACCTTGCCGCCGACACAGTTAATTGTCCGTAACAACCCCAAACTTACCTGGTTTTCTTGCGCAGCTAAAAAATGCATAACTAAATAAATATGGCCCTATAGCCACTTATGTGTTGGCAAACGGCTGAAATAAATTAGAAATAATAAAATAAACTGCATATAATATGTGCCTCGTAAACCTTAGGCATCAATAACCCGACACAACCTTAACCTTCAGAACATAAAAACGAGGTCAAATGGGCTAATTAAGGATATGACGTACACTTCATACTACAAGCATAGACAATGACACTCGTCTTTTCAGATGTAGGTAACAATACTAACAATAACTTTTCTTTCTTTCTTTTTTTTTTCAGTAGTTAAACCGCCACCCGCCCGAATTTAATTAAAATATAATTTTTCGTCACGTCATCCGCCCGACCCGCGGATTAACCGCGGTTGTAACAGCAATCCGCGCATCTCTAATGCGCGGACACGTCAGTGCAGGCCGCGGTTATGTGAAGGGGAAACTCCACCTAAAATCATAGACGGACTGGCTCCGTCACAAACAGTAAGAGCTGGGGAAACACAAAAATACAGTAGGTAAATGCCATGTTGTTACACTTTAGCAAAATGAACCATAACGTTAGCTAACAAAAGATTTAATTACACATCAGTTAACCATGTTTTGTTTTGTTTTTTTGTTGTTTTTTTTAATAACAAAATCTAATTAATATTAATTTTAGTTGCACAAAGTATTACAAATGTGCTTATACATAACAAAAATCTAGGTGTATACTTAAATTCATAATTTCAGAGGAGGACACTTCTGTGCTTAAGAAAAGAGGTTTGTTCTCAATGCTAATGCTAATGCTATTGTTGAGGTGTATTAGATATTACAAACACGCTCTTTGCCACCAGGGCTGCCCTTTGTCACTGGCTCTGTTCATTGTATTTATGGACAGAATTTCTAGGCGTAGTCATGTGCCGGAGGGGGTCCGGTTTGGGGACCACAGGATCTCATCTCTGCTGTTCACAGATGATGTCGATGATGTCTTGTTGGCTTCATTGGGGCGGTTTGCAGCTGACTGTGAAGTGGCTGGGCTGAAGATCAGCTCCTCCAAATCCGAGGTCATGGTTCTCATCGACCAGAAAATGGTGGCTTGCTCTCTGCAGGTGGGTGGAGACTCCCTGCCTCAAGTGGAAGAGTTCAAATATCTCACAATTCCAGTCCTTTCTGATGAGTGAGATGCTGCTCAGGATGGGTGTCAGCTCTCCATTGTCTTCTGGATTACTGACTACCTGTCAGGCAAGTCTCAGTACGTGCAACAGGAGCAACCTGTCTCATATCATGGTCAGTAATGTAGGAGGCCCCCAGGGTACAGTCCTGTCTCCGTTTCTGTTCACTCTGTACACTTCTGATTTTCAGTACAGCTCCAACTCCTGCCACCTGCAGAAGTTCTCTGATCACTCCCAGGCAATTTGTCTGCTCCTGAACGTTGACAAGACCAAGGAACTGGTGATTGACTTCAGGAGGAAGAGGACACTAGTGGAGCCCATCACCATCCAGGGCCATGAGGTGGAAATAGTGGACTGCTACAAGTACCTTGGCATCCATGTGAACAACAGGCTGGACTGGAAGAACAATTTTAATTCTGTGCACAAGAAGGGCATGAGTAGACTCATGAAAGCTCAGGTCTTTCAATGTGTGCAGCAAGTTATTGGAGATCTTCTACCAGTCTGTGGTGGCCAGCACGCTGTGGTCTGCTGGAGGAGCGGCATCAGTAAAAGGGACATTGGACAGGTTGACAAACTGATCAGAAAAGCTGGTCACGTGATCGGCTGTGAGCTGGAGACATTTGTC